AAAAAATATATATATATATATATATACATATATGCTAACAGAAAGCATTTTCTTTTAAAAACTTGGCTGTGAACAATCACACGTGAATGGATGAAATAGGTTATTTCTGAGTAGACACCATTAATCCCTTTCGGATCTTTCAGCCGAATCTTGAATGCAGCTACGCCTTTACTAAAATACCGCGTTAAATGACCGAGCAGTCCCATTAGCATAACGCCTGATGTATTCTAAGGTGTATTCCTGGTGTTCACATGTAACATTTATAGTGATGATGATAGAGATAATACATTTGTTTTATTTTTTAAGCAGACAACAGTTCAGGCAGTAACGTCAATTCCAGCAATTACTAAAAAGCAGCGTAATTCTCAACCTCGAAATGGACGCAGAAAGGTCTTCAAATTTTCTTAACTGCTTACTATTTTATGTTACCAGAAGATAATTTCTTTGTAAAATGCGTTCCTGAAAATTTTTCGATACTGACAGAGTCTAGAGTTCTGTTTTGCCTTCACAGTACTTTGTGTAATTACTGTTTTTTCCTTTCATTTTTCAGAACACTAACCAGGGCGGTACTCTGGGATCTGTTCTGATAAAAGCAAACAAACTTGCTGCTGCAGCATCAACTGATGCATCCATAAATCAGTTGTTACCTCCATCGCATGGAATTGAAATGAGGTTGAGTGTACAGAACAGCGAACAGGTGGCTAATCTTTCTAGGGAAATATCACGCTTGCAAAACCTTGTAAGTTTTCAAGTTTTATATATTGCAGTTTAAGATTCGACGGTTTATACATTTCAGTGTAGTGTGTGATCCACTTCCACAATGCTGGTAATTTCGTCAATTTCATAGCTGATTCGGTCATTTAACAGAGCATCCGTCAGCAGAAAGTCGAAGTTAAATCTTCCCTCCATCCTTTATATAATAGTGTTGTAGATTTTGAAGATATATCTGTTCATTGGGAATTATTTTTAGCAAACGGCTTATAATATAGATCATTCAGCAGAGATAAAGGAACTTGAAAATAAGCGAGCGCAGATATTTTTCGAAGCCCTTGCGCAACAGCATAAGTATGTTATTTTGCAGTTTATTTTGATCGGATACCTTTTTTATTCCCATTCGCACCTAATTTTGCTCATACTTTTTACTTTTTTTTTTTTTTGTTACCTCTTTCACATTATTCAGGTACGTTTTTGCATTTAAGAGACAAGGACTTGTTGTCGGCGGTAAATCCCAAGCCGATGGCCTTGACTACACATACCAGGCAAAGGAACCATAATAGGAATAATCATAATAGTGGACAAACAACTGTAGTAGTACATCAAGTGCAGCCTTCTACAAGCTATGAGCGGCAACATCAACAGCAACCCGCACATCGGCAACAACAGCAACAGCAATCGAATTATGAAGCAGCAACACCGGCAAGAATTCCGGTTTCTTGTCAGAATTCATACCAAATTTCGACTCACTACACTCCGGCTCATGAAACTCTTCAAAGCAATCAATTTAGTGTCCGTAACAACAATCAGATTCAGCAGGTACGAAGGTTTTTCAATATTGATTTCAGGATTTCATACGTTAATAAAAATTAAATTTGACTGATATTTGAAATTTGGTCTCCACTAATGATTTTATGGACCACTGAACTTCTTGATAAGTGAGGCTGTTATTACTCTTGAGGTGTCGACTGCGCAGTATAGTTCATACCGAACAACCGTCAGCCAACCGTCAATGCAGCAGAATCAAGTACGGGAAAATTATATTCATTCAGTGTCAAATACTGTGCCGCAAACTGTTATTTTGCAACCAGAACAGCATTCCTCTCATCGTGTAGTTCGTGAGGTACCTTGCGAACCACCTCCTCCACCGGTACCGCTATTTCCGCCGCCAATTCTTAGATCATCTGCTGAATCCGCTGCATGTATTGCGAAGAAGAAAGTCGAAAGGACCAAAAGGTTTACCATGTCTTACAGTTCATTCAATTGCTGGTGTTATTTTTTAGAAATCTATGTTATCCATTCTATTTTTGACACCTTTTGCGACATTTGGTAAATTGATCGAGGAAGCCGCACAATATAATTAGTAAAGATCAAGATAGTAAAAATCAAGATAGCTACAGTTATTTGAGTTGTGGTTTATTACTGTTTTGAATTGTTGTTTGTTAACTGTTTCACCCACAATTACAGGATCAAGGATTACTTTTTATCACTGCATAATTTTGTGGAACATCCAGACGTGTCATCGCCTTTCCATGATCTCTCAGATGTGCTTCAGCGTCTTCTTCCGTTCCACGTCTTTTCCGAACCTGATTTTAATTCCGAGATTCTGGATACTTGTATGTTTCTAATGAAGAGGATTCTCCTTACTGTAATAACTGAAATAAAGCACATGTACATTCTCGCTGAAATCTAACTTCAAACTGTTTTAGTTTCATTTAATATAACAGTTTCAGTTGATTATCATTGTCTGCGACATTTTGTGCATTTAAACAACAGAAGGCATATTATCGAGCAGCGGATGCGATCTTTGCTGTGTAAAGAAGCCATGGTTTGTTATTTTGTATAAAAATTATTTAATCGCTACCGTACAAGTGGAAAAGTTGTAGTTTTCTATCTTTTATTCAACTTAAGAAGCCGTCAGTTAATCAACTGTCATTTGATAAATGTTTTTTTAGGCGTAAAGCCAAATTAATTTGTTTTAAAGTTTATTATATACGTTTCGGAGTTTTTCTCCCCACAGTGAAGAGTATAATATTCATCAGAAGAATAACAATAAAAGGTGGAATTTAAAGTGTTAAGTTAGTCCAAGCTCGATATGAATTCAGTGCAGTTCCTTAACAATTTTTCAATCATGAAATAACGCTAGAAATTCTCCAACATTCTATTTGTTGCTCGAAAAGGAAAATTGGGCGAGTGATTTTCTTATAACATTTTCAGGAGGGATATAGTAAAGCGGATGAGTGCCTTTTACTTTCACTTGATGCGGAACATGAACGTCGTCTGCTAGATGAGGAAAAACGAATGGCTGTTATCTGTGGCAGAGGTAGAAAATTTTGTCTCAAAATTATTGAGGTGGAGCACGGGATTTCGTTTGTTACACCATGGTTTTTGGACTGAATCCCTAGACTATTTAAATTTCTTTTATAGAAAAATTTGTGGCAAATTCTGCAATATGCATGAACGGAATGGATCTAGAAGGATGTCGAAAGGAATTGGTACCGAAAACTATCCCAAAACTACACTTTGATTACCATACTTTCTCGGAGAGTGAAATTGCTGCTCGTACTGTGAGCCCATTCACAACGTCTGATGGCGAAGAGTCTCTAGTTTTGACGGGTTCTGACGACGAAGAAAGGATGCTTTCTGATGTGACTGATGAGATGCTGTTTTCTGAAGAGACTACAACAGTAACCAATACAGAAAGAGGCGCAAATGATCTCGATATAGAGGAGAATGTTGCCAAAAGAATTGGAGAGGTTAATTTTCAACTCGTAAAAAAAATAGTTTGTCATACAGTTGTAGTTGCGCATGTACTTACTCTTGAGAAATTCGTAACTTATGAAGTTTTTGTTAGTTCAGCTGTTGAATTTAGAAGACAAGTAGTGTGACCTTTGTATTTCCAGAAGAACCTGCCTACAAGTAATTGGATTGATTCTTGTCCATCACTTGATTTACGTGCTACGGTTACATGTTGCACTTCGCGGAGGAAAAGTGATTCAATAAGCTCGCATCAGGAACTGTATTCGCCAGTCAATGCTGATCTACCTGAACAAGTGTTCGTTGTAAAAAGTACGGTACCTTCTATTAAATCAACTGAACAGGTGGAAGCGGTCATTGCTTTAGCACATGCAACTACGCTGGAGAGAATTTCATCACCCACCATCGCGGAAGAAAATGAAGGCATCGAAAACTGTGTTCCGATAGAAGATAGCAGTAAAATTAGCGAAGCAAGCTGCGACAATGATAGCTCGCAAGTTCTAGAACATAAAGAAGAGGTCAGTCTTTTTTTGGCCAGAGAAGATTTTGAATTTTATGACAAATAAACTGTCTAAATCGGCAATATTTGGCATACCTGTGTCGTCTAATGAAAAAATTACTCAATTACATTAATAGAATAAATTGCTCAGACTATCATTCAGAACGCCGCCATTAAAGCAGAATGGTATTTTCATGATTTAGGAATGCTTCGAATGTAAATTTGTTTAGACTGAAAAGATTGAGAGACCTCCAATTCGAATAAAAATCGCATTAACTGATGCCACTTTGAAAAACTGTTTGAACAAAAGCAGCGGCAGGAAGAATAAGGAAAAGAAGAAGAAGAAGAAGAAGAGGAAGCACTATGATTCCATGAAGATCTGCAGTGGAGAGGTTTGTACCTTTGCTTTTCCTTCTTTTTATAGTTTCTATGGGAATTTTGAAATTAGTTGACTTTACAGGAACTTAGGTACTAGAAATTTTATATTCAGGTAAATGGTTTACTGCCGAGTTGTTCGGGACTGGAGGATATAAAATCGGAAGATGCCGCCTTACATCGTGATGACACATCTCATCCACGTATTCTTATGCGTATAACGCGTAAAAATAATATTGTATCAGTGACAGATCCGCGAACGAATCATATATCTCTGCATATAACACCAAAAAGTAGTCGGAGTTTTTCTGTATTCTAGCTTTGTAAATATTTCAATATATCTTTTATCAGTTGCTCATTGAATTTCTGTTT